AGCAGCAGCAATCATGACAGCAACAAAAGTTTATGTTCATTTACGAAATTAAACGTAATTGTACGGTAATAATTATTTGTCCCGTTTTCTTTAAAAAAAACTTGACTTATCACTTAAGTATGCCTAACCTAAATACTTGACAAGAAGACGATTTCGATTTATCCCAAGACTTATTTCATGTCGAGTTCTCATGTGTAACTTGTATCGTGTGAGTGTACAATCCATATGCATTGTCGAGGGATCTATTTATTTTCTTCAGGATAAATGTTTCAGCCCCTTGATACAGCCAATCATTTTGCTGGGAATTAGTTCTTACGTAAACTATAGATTCATACGCAGCGTGTGGATTATTTTCGCATTAATTTTATTTCATGGTTTTTTTATCTTTATAGTTTTGTTTTTATTGTGGAATATGAATAGAATTGTAGATATATGATAGTATAGATAGGACAGACACACAATTATAAAATCGCTAACATTTTACAATTGCCTTGGATCATAAACTGCATTTTTAATAACAAAATAACGTCATAATTCAGACGATTAAGAGAAGTAAAGATAAGTAACATAATAGCAAATACAAGATAGTGTTTATAAAGAAATACGGGGATTTCTAAGATGGGGTCTATTCGGGTCTGGTGAGGAAGCGGCCGGCGGTCGGGGGTCACCGCGGATACGATACGTTTCTCCCGGCTCCGGCACTCCGGCACTCCGGCTTCCCTACGGCGATGAGCTTCAACACAAATAATGCCTTTTTATGTTTTCCTTACATTGTGATTATGGTTCCCGGAAAATGTATGAAAAGTAAATGATGTGCATTTGTTTAGGCAAGTAATGTTTTGGATTAGCTGCTACGATGCTTTTTTGCGTTTTATTTGTGTAAACGCAGATTTCATTTTAAGTACATATTTTGTATTGGTTTTATCAACAGCCTATAAATGCCTACTGCTGAGAAACACGGAGAAGGTTTGAGCATTAATCACCACGCTTGCTCAATGCGGGTTGACGATTACAAATTTATAATTAGAAATTATAAGCCAGGTTTCCTCACGATTTTTTCCTTCACCGTTTGTCAGTGGTGTCTGAATAATCTTAGAAAGTACATATTACTCGGAAAAAGTCACATTGGTACTTGCCGTATGGTAGGTTTCGAACCCGTTGTGTTGGTTTATAAAGTACCTACATAACATTAGTCTATTTATTTAACTTTGCAAAATAACTTGTTTATTGTCCAGCTATTTGAATCAGGTCAAGAAGAGAATTAAAAAAAAGACTTTTATACCAATAAAAGATAAAGAATGCCATCCGGTATTAAGCTTGCCATTGTATAATAGTATGTACAAAAAGTGTTAAATAAAAATGTATAAAAAAACAGTCCCTTGTCCACATGTGGTCGCTGTAACTCTAACACACGCTTCAGTTGCGGTTTCATTTTAATGATTTTAAAGTAGGTACTACAAGAGTAGAGACGACTAGTAGAATAAACCATGTTCTTCAATAAAATACAAACCTCGCGTCAAAAATACGTTTTTATTTCGGGTTGTACAGGCAAGCATGGGCATCATGCAGCGATGCACCAATTAATAATGGTTAGTTGGCGACAACCTTCTTTGAACAAAACTTTAACGCAAGATTAGCATAGAGTAGAAAACCTGGCTTTATAACATCGGCTGTGTGCCGGTCCGCTTCGCTTGTAATTCCATACGAAGCATTAAAGTGTTAAGTTTATCGATGGCAATAATGCATCACAAGTAGCCGCCGTACTGTACGTAAGTAGGTAGTATATGTATGTGTCTACATACATTTGTCTGGCTCTGCTTATGTACTTTTAACTTGTATGTTATATAAAATTCATTTTAATAGATAGGTAATTGTGTCATTTTTTGTTGTTTATTAATTACTCTGGTTACCTAAATTAGAACTAGAAGATATTAAACATTTAGCGGCTACAGACCACGGAAGACCCGGAGACTTACCAATGGTGCTGATCGTCGCAGTGGTTTTAGTGAGGTGAACCTCACACTACTTAGTCTTCCGAAATAGCCACCTTTTGAAGGGTTCTTCTCGTCATTAAAAAGTAGGTGCCATATGTAGTTACTGACATACTTATTGAGTTAAATGGTCCAGTTTTATAAGTGCTTCATCATAATAGTTAATTGTAAAGTAGTGAATACTTAGGTCATGTGTTCTATAGTCACGTTTCATTGCCATATCTCTCACCGTTCAATATAACAAGTATTTCATATTCCAATCTAATATCGTACGTTATAAAATTCTAATTAAAATACTGTAATTTCATTGAAAAGGAAAAAATAAATCAGACATTCCTTAAATATTTACATAAGCAATTGTTTGCTAAGCTTATTAACATTAAATGCCAATATTGATTGAATTATAACAGTGTATTGTATGAGAATGAGAAAATTACATTCACATTCATTTAATAACACAAAGAAACAATACACATTTAGTTTCCAAGCAAATACAAATGTGTTTAAGTAGTCTAAGTTTAACAAAACACCTGTCTTTAAGGGTTAGGTTAAAGTATAGTTTTCACAAACCACATGTTTTACGTAAGTTGTCTATTTTTAGGCTATTCCCATTGGAAAACTATCTTATCATTATAATTTGTAACATGGTGTGAGTCTTTTGACAAATAGCTACATAGCATAAACTTTGAAATGATCGGCGGTATTTCCGAGCCGATACGACCATCAAGAAAAGAGCGTTTTCCTTTTTAAAAGACCCGCAACGAACCCGTGGCTCCTCTGGTGTTACGGGTGTGTTCATGGGCGGCGCTGACGATCGTTTATCATCAGGTGATACGTCTGCTCGTTTGCCTCCTATTCCAGAAAAAACAGGAATTCAATAACTCTCAATTATACTTTCAAAATCAGTTCCTAAGTTGTTTACTGCAATGTCTAGACTCAAAAGCAGTCAAGTACTAAATTTTAATAGGCAATGATGTAAGTATGTATGTACAGGCTGATGTTTTAGATCCCCGTCGATCACTTAAGATGTGTAAGCGGTTCACGTGACAGCTAATTCTTGTTTCATGGAGATAAGCTCAGCCAACACGCTTATAAAGAGGCTGAGAACTCACTATTGGCTTAGATTTTAGGTTATGTTAAGTTGTAAATGAATTATTTACTACAGAAGTTATGATTTCTCTTGAAAATGATGGATATTGATACAATAGTTATTGATTATTGCTGCTTAACTATGTAATATTTTATAATGAATTTATGAGTATATATTTAGGTACATATATACCTACGTACCACTACCATACCTACGTACCATGGGTACTGAAATTTTATTGCAAATCTTAGTACATGTTAGGGTATAATGCATAGATCGTTACGTTCACAATTTAAAGCCTGCGTAGGTATTTACTTCAAGAGAATCTTGAGTGAGTTAAAGCCTTTAAGATAATGAACATCGTACGTTATCTTGTATTTAGTGACGGCACGCAAATGAGCTACACCCTGTATCTATATTCTTATTTTTTAGGCGTAGAATTTCGTCATTGTAAAGTCATTAAGGTTTCAAATCTAATCTAGGTACTAAAATACGATACCACCTTAAAAGTTGTTACACCTGAAATTTCAAAATATAACTTTTAATCAAAAATAAATTTGGTATTTATTATGAAAGCACGAAATACCTTTAAGAATGATAATTCGTATCAATGATATTATTAATGGATATTTTGCGATTTTTTTTTCTTTAAAAAAAAAACGTTGCCCCACACTAGGATGTTCGCCTGTGTCGTGGGTGCGCTTACAAACATACAACTTCACATACACATGACACCCAGACCCGGATCAACAATTTGTGGATCACACAAAGTGTTGTTCCGTGCGGGAATCGAACCCGCGATACGTTGCACGGCAGCCGGTTGCCCAGCCACCGCACCAACCGTGCAGTCATTTTAACTAACTAGTCAGATTAACCTTTGTAATAAATAATTCACTAAATTCCCTACGGTAAATTTTCAAATAATTAAAAAGTATGAATTTCTATGAATTTTGAATGTGAGATAACATTCAAAATTGAATTAAATTGCCCGTTTTGATCTTAAAATTTTTAATTTAATTTAAAACTATTTAATTAATCTAGTCTTCAATGTAATTCTTACCTTTTAAGTTTATATTTTTGATTCAAATAATAAACACCTTGATACTGTACCTAGGGGCTATGCAATAAGAAAATTAACGTTTAATGAATGAATTTTCGTTGTTAATATTGACATACGATCTGAGGAGGGCCGCGAGCCATCTTTCCTTTGGATGCAATTATTATGCAAAACGATTAACATCTTAACAAGTGGAAGTGTTCATACCGACACCTCTAGCGATCGATAGTAAATAGGACACCTTGTAAGACGACCCTAAGATAAAATTGGAATACATTTTGAATATTTATCTGTTTTGTCATAATTAATTTCGATGTTACAAATATATGTCTTCGTACATTTAATTTCAAGAACAATACTTACGAACGACAACCTGTATTGTATTTTTTCAAAAACATATCTTAAAATCAAATGGAAAATGAGAGGTAAAAACATTAAGGAAATGAATAATCATTTTTTGCAAACATGATGTCCCATTACATAACGATTGCCTAACTTAAGTCAAAACAGTATTGATCCAAAACTACTTGCTAAAATACAACCTTGATTTTTATGTTATCATAACATTTATCATTCATTATCACCGCTTGATTGACAACATACTGCGAGACGCGAGTGTTTGTGATCAGTTGGTCAAATTCCGAGTTGATATCATCATTCACTAATAACATCTCGACAGTTCAATATATCTGAAAATACTGTCTAGTTTTGCTCGTCTACCACCTCTGTACAAGTTTCTAAGTTTATCACAGATCATTGAACAGATTAGATTATTATTGTATATAAAATACAGAGGTTTAAACAACATAATAATATATTTTTATCTCACGTTTGTGCAAGAATACAACATTAATTTTCCGTCATGAGTTTCCAAGACAAAGTGGTGCTGGTAACTGGTGGCAGCTCTGGTATTGGAGCAGCCATTGCCATCAAGTTTGCTGAAGAAGGTGCTAAAGTGGCAATAGTGGGAAGAAACCAAGAGAAACTGAATGATGTTGCGAAGAAATGTGGTAATCCTTTAGTGATACAAGCTGACGTCACCAAAGATGAAGACATCAAAAGGATTGTCAATGAAACGGTAAAAAATTTCGGTCAAATTGATGTATTAGTTAACAATGCTGGTATTGTGCAAATAGCAAGTATCGAAGCGGAGAATGCTATAGAAGTGTTTGACAAAGTAATGTCAACTAACTTGCGCTCAGTGGTATATTTGACCAATCTTGCGGTCCCTCATCTCAAGAAGACTAAAGGTAACATAATCAACATATCAAGTATTGCCGGAATTCGTGTGCTTTCTAAGGAAGGTTTCTGTTATGATACATCGAAGGCAGGTCTGGATCACTTCACTAGATCTATCGCACTCGAATTAGCTTCTAGTGGCGTTCGTGTGAATGTTATCAACCCAGGTCCTGTTAAGACTGATATCATGTCAAACATGGGTACTCCTAAAGAGATGGAAAATGTTATTTTGAAAAACATGCAAGGGATGACAGCTTTGGGAAGGATTTCAGGGCCGAAGCCATTACTGGTTCATCATTTGTGAGTGATAATGGAATGTTATTGAAAGCTGGTGTTTTTAGTATTAATTAAAAATTATGCTTAAAATGTCTTTTATTGAATTGTTCCAAATAACTACATAGCTTTGGATTAATAATCAGTCAAATATGTTTAACAATCTTAGTCTAGTTATAATTCTTCACAGAAACTGGAATTGTGCCTGATTAGTTTTGCACTTCATTCATATTACTTGTGAAAAACTAGCTTTATTTAGTATGAGTATCTCTACATAACAGAGCTGTATTAGCTGTAAAAATTAACACAACTGTTACAGTATCCGTATAACATAACAAGAGAGGCCCAAGAACTTTATTACAAACTTAAGCACTTCCATAAATATGTTTCCTTAGCTCTCTAAAATTGAAGCTAGCTCCGTAGATAAATCAGAGAGGAATAATGTCGGACAGAACCTTACAAGATGAAGCTTATAGCAAAATATCAGTAACACAAGGAGTATCGATTGATATAGCTGACGTGAGCGCTCATAGTGATCTATTTCATAAAGTACGTGCATGTGTATATAGGTACCCGACCGTCTATGTGTGAGTGCTCGTTAATCATAATTTCGCATGTTTGTTCGTGTGTACGTTGGTTCATATTATTATGTTTTGGGGATAAGAAATTAGTTAGTGGACATTAAACTTGAGTGTAGTTCCGATGAATAGTCTTGATATTAGTAGCTATCGGTCCCATGACTAGCGATATTAAATGTTTTTTCGAGACAGATAGGTACATTAAATAATATCATTCTATTTACACACGACAAAGTGAATTTAAACATTAATCAATTTTTGACAATATTTTTGCACAAACTTATCCTATGATTTGTTATTTTATATGGTTAATACGGTCCTTAATACCTATATGTAGGTATAGGTAGAAGTTGAAACCCTGTTGTTTTTATAGTTTAATCGCGATACTTAAACTTATGTGGTATCTTTAGCAAACACGGCGATAGTTCCCATAGCTCCTGTCAAAGTATCAAACAGAACAGTCGGCGTACACGAAACTTAGCAAGAAGCATTAAGGGCTCGCACATCGTAGGGACTGACCCGTCATGAAATTTAAATCTAGATCAATAACCGCGCTTATATCATTGTCTTCATTAGAGATAATTGGGTTCGCTCCCCAACGGCCGCAACTTTGTTTGTTCGTCGATAACTTGAGACGAATTTCTTGAACATTAACTTACCTACGTCATGTAGGTTAGGCAGTCGTTAGCCGAAATGGACGTTGCGATCTATTTATAATTTTAGCGGGAAGCCTCTCAAGGATCAAAGTAGTTGGGTGGAGTATCCATTGTGTGGACTACCTGTCATAATTAGATAATATAATTATTATTTTTAACCGATTGTGAGGAAGGTTTGTTTTTTATTTAACACTATTACCACTTTTTGGTCATATTTGTATTAAGTGTATGGTATGTTACCTTAACTTAGTAAAATCTAAGATAACGAGAAAGACCTGAAAAAAATTTTCAAATGAAATTGTAAAATGATTCCTACAGCTCTTGCTTACGTTTTCTATCAAATAAATTTTCGAAAGAAAAAGTACAATAGCCCTATTATCATAAAGCTCGGTAATTGTATTTCGTCTAAGTTGCTTGGAGACTGGTGTGTGGGTAATGCCGTCATTTGCGTCTCATATGTTTGTACACGGCGAGCAAACACGATTACCTGAAATTAGGTTAGTACGTTTTATGTTATTTACACTATCACCGGCGTCCCTAGATTTTCGCTCATTTTAAATTATTACTACAGCTTTTTATGTTGTTCTTGTGAAGTAATTGGATTTATAAATACTTAACGTTGTTTTACATGGTTTGTTTCGAGACTATAAAGTATTTGCTTCTTTGAATATGGAATATGGAATAGAAGAATAATTTGGTATTGTAAATAAGATCAATAGTCAAGGCAATCAATATCTGCAAGTTGTCTAGATTTTAGATTTTATATTTACTTTTTAAGTACTTACTATTTATGGAGCATATGCTTCGCAGTACCACTTCAGCTGAGAAAATCAGAAAAATATGTGTGAAAGACATGAAAGAAAATTTCCCATATCTGTCGTTTTTTTTGGTAGTTACAGAAAATTCTCAAACAGGTTGATATATTGTGATTCTTTTCCATTACGTTTTGGTATTTTTTTAAACAACCGAGCAGCCCTCAAGCCACTCTGTAAGCGCCAATGTTTGAACACTCTCGCATCGATTTCGACTCGATCGCTTTCTAATCCCCATTTTCTCGATGCCATTACGATTTTTCGAGCGCTCGCCTCACTCCATATTTCCGTGCATATCTCGACGATTCGCAGATCCATTATTTTTTATGGCTGGAATACACGATGCTTAGTAGAAGTATCGCCCCTGCCTACCGAGTGTTAACGTCTCGGTACACTTTGCTTAGGGGTGACAATGAACTTACGCAGAAAAAATGCAAACATTTACGAGCCATGGGTTTATAATGAACTAACTCAAACTCCACTTGTTTGCCGTTACACTACTACTTTATATAAATAAATGCAGTTTAAGTCTTTAAAGATATTAATGATAGTATTAGAGTTAGATATTATGGACATTTTCTAAGTAGATACTCAGTTGGTAGCGTCGCGTTTAAAAATATGATACCTTTTAAAACATTTTCAAATATTCATCAACTGTTTCAACTTAGGGAGATAGCTTAGTAGCTACCCGTGAATGAACGCTACCTGTGTCAATAAATACAAACTTTAGCGAATATGTTAGACAAAATGGTATGAATAATTCTTTAGAATTTTCTGATCTTAGTTTCTGAGTGCCTCTATAGTGCATTCCAAGTTTTACTATAGATGCACAAACATCAAAATTAAATGATTTATGCCATTTGTATTTACGGATGACTTCAATACGATGGGTGAGCAAGTGGACCGGAAAACCGCCCAATCAGTTTCTTTTCTCAGTTTCTAGTCACCCCAACACAACTCCCGACTCAGCCATTCCACTCAATACATTTTATCGACAAACGTCAGTGACGCTGCGTGACACTTATGTAAATATTTAAATACGATCCAGTACAAGCTATGAATATTTTAAACTCTAAGTAAACCACTCGGCTTTGTACTCCCACAAAGATACTCACACACCAATGAAAGAAAATCTATTACTATTCCGTTTGCAATAAGGTTGAAATTAGTGCATGAGATCAGCAAATGACGGTTGTGTTCTTGTATTATATCTATGCATAAAGCGATTTGATAAGTGCTCGCAAATTGGGGATCGATATTAAAGTGACGAGTTATGCTGATTGGATTTTTTCAAGTTGTTCCGAGGGGACGGTGAATAATTGAGTGCGATTTAGTTTAAGCGAACAAAAAATGGTTTTCGAATTTAATTTCTTATGAATAATTATAAAAAATCTACATATCGCCAAGTAATAACTTGCATTTTGCATTTATTTCGTGTCATCGGTTCAACTGTTATTGCAGCCGCCTGCCATTGGTTTACGGCTTTCAATCCTACGAGCGTAATTGCTATTATAATAGCAATAGGCACTTACAATTTATACTAATATTATTGACATAAAATTTAAATTATACTAACCTAATTTTATTTTGAACATAAAACTGAACAACTTTTCTCAGTAGACATTAAAATTAGAAAGCCAAGAGTATTTCGAACGAGCACAAGTACATTAAGGAGCGAGTCGTGCTTGTATCAATTGATCAGGCAGATCGTCCTCGATACCGCTACTCGATACCATTCACACAATCTCCGAGGGATCTATTCGAGTGGTACTCTAGCTTTCCGGATCTCATTCTTTTGTTGGCAGCACTCGGTTCGCGTCGCCACTCGACACCCGAGGATGTCTTTGTTATAATGTCGCTTTGATAAAAGGTGGGGACCAAAAATTTGTTGTGTTTCTGATAAAAAAATGATTTTTATTAGCTCGTGATGATAGTGGATTTCCTAGAGATAACGAAGTAAACAGCCATAGGTATTTTTGGATGCTAAACTTAATTGCTTGTTACCTACTTTTCTTTTTAATTATATAGCTACACTTTCAGTAAGGAAGCTCTTGGTTCATTCATTCCTTTAATAATCTCCTATCTTTTACAATAATACTTTTACAAGAAAGAACACACGTTTTGTGTAGCGTTTGGAGCAGAGGATGACTATTTTCATTGGTAGATCTGATTGAAATCAGTTGTACAGATTTATTCATCAATTAATCACACTTAATACTATAAATGTGAAAGTTTGTTTGTTTTGATGTTTGGTTGGTTTAGACGTTTGTCCGTTAACCACGCTGAAACTACTGAACGGATTTTCATGAAATTTGGCAAACAGGCAGGGTATGGATTGACTTAGTTATCCCGATAAATGCTCCTATGGAATAAAACAGGAATCATATTCTACGTGTATGAAATCGCGGTCAACAGCTAGTTAGGTATTAATACTTTCATTGTCAAAGTACAAATAAGTTAAATGTTAAATATCAACTCAACTTTCAACGTCGACTCGTTTAAAATTTTAACACCTAAGAGTATGTAACAGTACTCCAAGCAAGTGAAATGTTAAAGAATTTTTTTAAAAGCCACTACCCCCAGGTGGCGACTGGGTGAATACAAAGTGTGCAAGGCGGGCGATCCGCCTTCGCCCCTGTTACATGTCGATATGGCAATCTCAATATTTGGGTCATTGAGAAATTAGATAGACTAATCTCTATTAGACGTGGTGTAGATAATTGTAGAAAAAACTGATATTTGAATTGAATAAGACATAACGTATGAAACTATGCCATTCTGTATGTATAACTATACCTATAACTGTATGGAAGACGTACAATATAGTACCTACTGAAAAATTTAGGACTCAAAAATTAGTGTTTACAAATTTGCAGCGGATTCCTACCGGACAAACAGGTAATGTCTTTTCAGGAAGGATTCTATTGGTAAAAGAAACCAGATTCTTTCAATACACGAGATAGGTGAGTTTGGGCGGGCGAATGG